CACCACTCCTCCAGCCATGCTGAGGCCGCGTCCCACATACAGCAACTAGAAGGATGTGCAGCTATGACAGACAACTATGTACTGGGGCTTTGGGGGAAAAATAAATAAATAAAATCTTTAAAAAAAAAAAATAAATAAAGTATATTAAATATACTTAAATAGTATAGTTAAGTTTTCCCATGAACAAAAGGGTAAATAACCTCATTAAACTTCATTTGAGAAAATTGTTCTCTGAGTTAAAATTCAGAAGTTTACAGATCAGGTGTATAAAATATCTCCTTTTCAATGTCAGAAAAGCCTTTTTTAAAGTTTTAATTATATGCTACTGCTTCTGATTTAACTTGCCATTTTAAAAATAATTATTTTACGGTAAGGATTGAACATTGTCTAAATCAATGATCCCAGAGTTGCCTACACTGATGAGATAGATGAATTGTGTATTTATACTTAACGAAGGGAAGTAAGCAGACAAGCAAATATGTTAAAAAAATAGGCTTACACTAACAATCATTCATTTGAATTATGCTTAGTATTTGAAGTCTCTGTTCTGAAAGCTTAAGTGAGGAAGCTTGTCTTGTCACGCTTACTTCAAGCAGGTATGATCTCAAGCAGTCAGTTCAGGCCCTCAACAGTAGCACTGGTGTGTACTGGTGGGCACTGGTATTCAAGGAGAAAGGGATTCAGGCAGTTTTTGGTCGTTCTGCAAAACAGGGTCTCTGAGCTCATTAATGACAGAATACGAATAGGGATGACCTTCAGCCCTCCATACCGAGAAGATCAGGACTATTCCAACACTAGGCTAGTGTTAGGCTAGTGAACATTTTTTGTCAGAACATTAAATGTGAGTTAGCGTTGGAGGGCAGCATCTTGGTGTGCCCTAAGGCATCTCACTGCTGAATTGACTTGGGCCGGAGAGTGCCCTCTCCTGGCCAAGGCTGGTGTGTACACACCGCTCAAGTCTGTTTTCCTTTAGTACCAAAGCTTCACATTCTGTGTGAAGCCAGCAAATTATGTAGAATAAATTCATTATGAAAATTCAACTGAATTTTGGTCTTATTTTTAAATTTTTTTTTGTAAAATGGATTAAAAAGAACTCGAATGACTGCTCTATTTTTGTTAACTTGGTTTTTTCTACCATAGGTCTCAACAAATGGCAGCTATTACATCAGACAGTGACGAGTCCTGCTGCTCCCTTACAGTGTCTGACAGACCACTGTGGATTCAGACTGGGAGCATTGAAGTTAACAGTGAAACGGGCAGGTCTGTCTGTGTTAAGCCCTGCCACAAGTGAAGAGGGCATCATGTCATCACTTGATCATTCCCAAAGCAGATTAGGCTAGACGTACAAGAATTCAGTAATTCTTTTTCCTTAGTGTTCATTGACCTTGGTAGCTGGGTGTACTTCATGTAGGGGACAGTTTTAATGACTGAAAATAAGTTGCAATTGATATTACCTGCTGTGGTAAAAAAACAGAGCCAGCCTTCTTCCAGCTTCCATGAATTGAGAGGCATTTCTCCTAGGGTGGCAGAATTATGACAAATAGTAATGGAGTCTCCATGGAAAGTCAAATAGTGGATTTCTTTATCTTTTCACTATCTCAGTCTTTCTTTGTCAGTTTATATTTATTACTTCTTAATGTATAGGTAAGAATATATATATCCATATATAAACATATATATATTCTTTGTGAATTAACCTCAAAACCATTGTCATTTACATAAGGCAAGTCAAAACTCAGAGGGTGGCAATATATAATGCTGAAATGTAGTTGTAGTCTATTTAAGTACATTTATTAAAACCCCCTTGGATAATGCCTAAAAGGCTTATTTTGGGCTCTTATACAGCACGAAAGGCTTAGGGATTTTTGTTGTGCTGCTTTTGAACTATGATCTTTTGCTTCCCTGAATTAAGGCTATGTAACCCTCTGGTGTTAGCGGCTAGGGGAGAGCTGTAATTGGGCTGTATCGTTGCATATGAGCTATAATTTGCAAGCTGGGTCAGAATGGCACATTTTGGATGAGAGATTGAAGCTGGGATATTTTGGACTCTTACCTGTATGGGGTGGTAGCTACCCTTGCAGCAATCTCTTGAGGGAATAGCGTTTTTTTAGTTTTTTGCAGCTCTCATAGGATATTAAGATCTGCTTCAATCCTTGGCTTTCCTGCCAAGTTGAACAGGCCTCACTAAGGTGGAAGCCAGATATTGAGAGAGTCATAAGTAGAAGGAAATGGATTTGTACATGGGATTGGCTATTTACTTTTCTCTTTCAGTTTATAAAATGGGGATATTTACTTCCAAAGTTCTGTGTGAGTCTAAATTTATTAGTAGTATGATCGTATTAGTATAATATCTTAGTTTTAGAAAATAAAAACTTTTCTTAGCTCAACGTCAAATTTTAAAACAACTAGTGTTAATCATTCTGTTTCTTTAGAAGCAAGGACTGCCTTCACCTTCCATTCTGATATGTGCGGTATTTATGGCTAGCAGTAATTTTTCATTGCCGGAGAAGAAACGTGATAGAATGCCCTGTGAAACTTGTTTGACAGGCCCGACCCAGTCAGTGAATGAAGCACGGCAACACTGGGAAGTTAACATAAGATCTGGAGTTCTGTCAAAGACTGGGAAAGATGCCTACTTTGAAATGTTTGGAAGTTAAATATTGAGAAGGATAGGGTGGTTTTTCTTTTTTCCTTTTTGCTTTCTATGTTTATTTTGTCTGTTATTATTCCACTGGAAATACCATATCTTTGGTTTAAAAATACATTTGACCAAAAACATCATCTTTCTCTTCACGGATCACCTCTTTTGGAATTCAGACCTTTAGTGGTACTTAGGGTCCCAGGTTTGAGAGGCATAATCAGAGATTGTAGAGGGTTTCAATGGGGTTCTTACCACCTGTTGGTATTAAAGGGAGATTGGTAATGTTGGGCATTCTGGTCATGCTACTTGGCAGTAATTTTTATAAGCCTTGCCCTTTAAGTGTTCTGTTCAGAGTCCTGCTTTTTGTTGGCAGTGTGGTGCAGAGTGCTTCTGCTGACAGTCAGGTTTGCTGGTGTGACAGGGGACACCACGGTCAGTCTAACCAGCATGCGCAAGTTGTCTTCTAGTTAAAATGGTCCTCTTGATGCCTTCTGATGTGCTGTGTCTACCTCGTAGGAGGCATGCTCTGCCCCCTCTTTTTTGCTTTTTGCATATATGTAGACAGTGTGATCTGCAGCTGATTTTTACATAGCTTGGGTTTGTATATAAATTTGCTTCCTAAGCCTGTAGGTAGCCTGTGCTAGAGGAAGGCTGCTGGTGCTTCCTAGCAGTCCACAGCAGCCAAGCTGACTTGCAGAGTTTAGGATTGTTACCTGTGAAATGGCAGAATAAAGGACAAAGCTAAAATTCACCCTTTATTAGGCAAATATTCATAAACAAGTATTTTTAAAAATACACTCAAGTGCAGATTGACTATGTGAAGGTGACAACCATTTTATTTGTGTTGGAGTTTGGCCAGATATACTGCCGAAATAACATGAATGCTTCTGTTGGTTTAGAGTGGCATTAAGTTGTTTTCTCAAAAAAATATTGGTCACGTTTAACTGATTTAAAACAAAAAGTTAGGTGTGATCCCAAAATCTATAGAGGGCTTAATTTAAACAATGAGGACATCATTTTTCTCATATAATTACTTGTGCTTAACTACATTCTCTTCCTTTTCTTTACTATATTTCAGCACAAAGACATTAGCAGGCTGCTGGTTTCATGGACCTGTACCACAATGACACAGAACACCAGAGCGTCAGGACTGAATGCAATTGGAGACTCAGATTTTTAAAGCTGCACTGAGAAGTAAATGTTAAGGCAGTGGTTAAAATCAACAGTCTATAAAGGGGCACTTGCAAATTGTGCTATAGTAAACCGAAGAAAAGCTATTAGGGGAATATTTTATAAAAAATGAACTGTCGCAATAAATTATGAATGAGATGAGGAGAAAGGTGATGTGAAATACACATACAAAAAACTCACTTGAATTTTATGTATGGAGAATCACTGACAGTAACATCTTTTGAACGTGAAGTTTTTATCAGTACAGTTTAGACAGGCCTAAAAGGCATAGGAGGATGGCAGAAATATTGAATTATTTTTCATACTAAAACTTTGTGCTTTCTCCAAGGTTTATGTTAATCAGTTTAGATATAAGCAGAGCTATTTCTAAAATGGCTCTCCTATGAAACAGCAATAGTCACATATGCCGAGGCCAATGTTTCCTTCAGGGTGCCAGTGGAAATGACAGAAAAGATTATCTAACATCCTACTAAAAGGATAGCAAAGTGCTCCACCCCACCCTGCAAAGAAAATTTGGATCTTTTCTTTAATAAAGCAGGGCTGTATTATCTTGAATATACGTTTGCTTGTTAGAACATATTAAGATGTATTTATTTGCCACCAGTATTTAACATTTTGTGCACATTTTCATAATACGTTCTAATCTTTCAAATTCTGACTCAGAGTGGATAGGCTAGTGTTGATCTTGGAGTGAAAATGTATACTCTAAGAGCCAGTTCTTAATTCTACTGAGCTGGAAAGGCTTATATTATTCTCCCTCTCCTTACTGGTTTTATCTAGTTTAGAAAAGGTGACAGTATCTGAATTTTGATGTGGACCTCTCTCCACAGAGACCCCCCTCCTTCTGTCTAAGTGCAAGAAATTCTCACAGGGGTCAGGTGGGACTTGACCCTGGAGAACAAGCAGCAGGAACAGACCCATAAAGACAGCTTCGAACTTTTCATGCCTGGAGCATGAATTCTTATTAATGGAAACCGTAATGTTTTTCTTGTCTTTAGAAAATACATATTATGAAAACCCTTAATTTTTCTTTTTTAATGAATGGAGAAAACATTAATGAGAAAACCAAATGGACCTGTTAGTACTACATTTTTAAGGCATTTTATATTTGATGGTGCCGTGCTTTTAATAATAAAACAAGTTTTTTAGTGGCAATACTGATTTATTTTTTAAACCAGAAAGATAATCCATATTGATAACTTAATACAAAAAAGGGCAAAAAAAAGCCAAAAAATAAAAAAATACAAAATTCATTTAAAGCAACATAACAGATAACTGAGCATTTGGCTCAAGTGTTCAACCTTTCCATAATATTACTGTATAGGCTTGGAATTACTTAGTAACCCCTCAGGATTAATAAAAGGTTCTGGGTGAGAGTTTTAGAACACTCAGTATAACAGACTAGGATTTGTTTTACAACTCAAGAAGAAAAGATAGGCAATCTTGCTTCTAGTGAGCTTAATGCAAATCCTAAATTACACTGCGAGTTATTAAAAGTTTTGATCACATGCTACAATTGTGGAAAGTTCTTTATCATGAAGTCATTATACATTTGATCAAATCTGAAAAAGTCAGCTCAGGAACTGTAGCAGCAGGGAGTTCTAAAGATGCTGTGTACTTCAGTGGGGCCCTGCTCTCCATGGCCCTAGGGCTTCAGCTCGGGTCTGTCCGGTTCTTCCAGATATGTAACACCAGCAGTACCTTTTAGGCTCACTTCAAGAACCAGATAACTCCCAAGCCATGGAGGATTGTATAATCAACATTTTTAAGCTTTAGAATTCTTTATTTGTGCAGAGTGATGGAAATGATCAAGAAGTAAGATAAAGGCAAAAGAATTGGGAGAGGTCAGGTTTTAAGTATCTAAATATTTTTTCTCATGACAAATTCGCAAAGGTGTTTTGTTATAAACCAGATTTTCATTTTTTAAAAAATGAAACTTGGTGGTATTTAAAATCTAGACATACCATGTTGCTGTTTCACTTTCATTGCTTTAGTTGCTTAATATTTAAGCTTTGCTTCATGCTACCTTTGTCTGTATTTCATATCTTCACAAGCCTATTTCATTTTGTAGACTTGAATGACAAAAATTGTTTCTCATCTAAAGTATGCTGAGACAAATGTTAAAGAATGTTGTGTGACATTTATCCAATAAAGTCTTGATTTTTTTTTAAATTTAGTTATTTAAAAACTATTTGTTTACTTTTTAGGAGTTAGATTTTAAAGGTTATATATATTTTTTTACTATTAAAATTCAACCATAGTTCTTTAGGGAGCTGTTTTAAGAGGCATTGCTTCCTTAGGAGAATGACCTGTAAGTTTTTAATCACTGGGAGGTTTTACGGGACCTCACTATGACCAGGGATAGAGGAAGGGTGAAGAATTGTGCACAAACATTACTGTTTTCTGATGGAAACAACCTGCCATTCAGAGTTGGATGTCATTAAACAAACATATACTGGTGAGTTCTTTTGTTTGTTTGTTTTAGTTTTAAGGAGTCCTGCCCTTATGGATACACGGTTGCTTCTTGAAAAGCCCAGCAATTTCAATGTGAGGTCAAGTGTTGGGCCACAAACACTCAGTTGTCAGGAAAAAACTAGCGTCTTAAAACCTACGAGACAGTTGAGATTTTTTAGGACTGACCCAGAAACTTAGGTCAGTCAGTGTACCTTTTTATTCCCCATTTGAGTAAAGCCGTCCTTTAGAAGGCTACCTGTTCCTCCAGTATATACATGGTGTCTTTAATCTCATACATTTTCCCATTTCAATTCATGTAAATGAGTGTAAAAAGGAGGCTACTGAAATCTGGCTCTGTTAATATCTTTTTTTCCCTCAAGTTTCCCACTAATGAAAATGGAGCTAGGGAAAACCAGGGAAGGTAAACAAGCCACATGCACATTATCTGGGAAGGCCTACATGAAACCCCCCTCTCCCCCCCATACCATATTCCTGATCACATTGTATACACGTGTTGCTATGTTTATAGACACAACTCCTACAAGATAGAGGGAATGAGTGACGAAACCTGTAGATGAAACTTAGGATCTTTTTGGTGCTGTCTTCAGATAAGGAAGTGTAATAAGTTTAGATTCATGCCTTGGAGTCACATATGGACTGTCCCAGGACCTCCCTGAGCATGCTGGGTATGTCACTGCAAATATGCTGCACTGTAGATAGATAAGTCAGCTGTTTTCCTGCTTTTATACCTGATAGCTCAGTACTTCTCCTCTTTCGAGTAATGAGTCTTCCTTCAGTGCTTTGAATAGAGCACACTGTGTTTCTTAAGCATAATTTTTCTACAGTGATGAGCGTCCTGCCAAATCTTTGCTTATTCACAATGAAACTTCATGGCCTAACAACGTCTTTGCTTTGATATCGAGAAGGTAATGAACCTGCGATGAAAGAGAATACAATTCAGGAATATCGCGTCAGGAAGAAAGAGCTGGCCACACACAGTGGCCGTGTCGGTGTCCTTAAGAGGGAAGAAGATGTAGGATCAGCTCTTTCATCACCCCTCCTGCGGCCTGATTGTAGAAGCAACCCTCTAGCGGTAAGGAGGGAAAGTGAGGCGGTGATATTGAGAGGAAGACGCTGCTGTCCCAATACCCTGCTGCAGTGTAAGGTAGAGATGTGGATTCCAGTCTTAGTCCTATCAGTTCTTCTGTCTGTCGGTGGCAGAAGAATCACGCAGTGGCTGCACTGGCCAAAACGGTGTGGAAAATAAGCGTCTCAACAAACTCTTCAGTTCCTACTCAGCCAAGGCCAAAAACATGGAGACATTAGAGAATTTTTGTCCTCGCGTGAAATAGTTTATAGTCATGTTTCTGAATTCTGTCTAAGCTCAGTGCCTAACTCCTGTGGATCCTGCGTAGATGGCTCAAACCTGCGATCTGAAGGTGAACGCTCAGCAATGTGAAGTGCCTTGAGGTGACAGGGCGCCTGCTGTGTCACGGCCTCAGAAAAGCACAGCCAGCGGCTTCAGTAAGACACGAGGCAGCCTTACAGAAGACGGTGATGGGGGTGATCCTTCACGTGTTTACACGCAGCTTCTGTAACACCTGTAGGAGCTGAGGCCGGCTGGAAAAGCTTCTGCAGCACAAGCTGAAGCTATAACTCGGCCTCTGATGCCAACTCTGCCAACAGCAGAATCCAATCAAAGTGTCACACAGACCTAGGGAATTACCAGACCTTTTCTCCCAGTCAACTTCATGAGGCAAAGTTGCAAATAAGCATATTCTATTTTGAGGCAGTCAAACCATCCCTACAAAACTGTCTTGTGTACTTGAGACCAAGTACTACAGAGAGTCCACCAAAGCCTACATCTTTTGAAATTTAAACGCTATTTTCCCCAGCTCACTATTCCCTTGCTTTCCATCCCTGGCCCCACTGAGGATGGCTTTGTCTTTAGTTTGCTTGAAGACTTGCATGTTTGTATATTTCTGACTTGCTACGTTTGGGGAGTTGGAGGGCATCAAGTGGCATGAGGCGGTTGCCTGGTGTGAGTCTAGGTTGGGGTGCCTGATGTAGACATCAGTCTGGCACAGCACCCCAGAGAGGGACAATGAGGCTCCAGTAACCTCAGATCTGTCTCCTCATATTTGGAACTAAGGGTTCCCTGCAGAGCCTCTGGGTTGGTTCCCTTCACATCTGTAGTGATGCCTCATGGCTTAGGACCCCCAGTGCCTGACAGGAGTTCCCATCTGGGTAGGCTGTACTTCTCAGCAAGCCAGAACTAGCAGCTGGGACTGAATCACGGCCACAGATTGTTAGCTGTGGGCTTCCTTGGCGGTGAGGCAGCAGGCCCTGCCATCCTTTAGCTAAGGGAAATGTAAGCTTCCAAAGTTTCCCCATGAGTGAAAGGAAAAAGAAGGTAGGGAGTCATATTTCTAGTTCTGGCTCATAGAACTTAAAACTCCTGTATGATGGAGCTTATTCCTAGGCATGCAGACCTCAGAGGGTTGGAAAACTAGAAGCAAACCGAATATTTTTATTACAGACTATTTAAGACATTTGTACAACAAACAAACCCCACGTATCCGTCCCTAGCTTCAACAATTACCAACTCGTAGCCAGGAAGATTGAAAGTTTGCATGCTCTGAAATATGAGGGCATCCTCACTAGTTTTTGCAAGTAGTTTTATCATTAGTTTCTTTGATTGCCCCTTGAAGGGTTTTAAGCAGTCGTTCTGATAGTCTATGGTCATTTTAGCCCTACCTCTTGGGCTGGCTGGTGGCAGGTAATCCATTTCTCATTTGCAGGAACATTAACGGACTGGGTGTAGCGCAGGCTCAGGGCAGCTCTCCACACAACAGAAGGAAGTGACTGGAAATGATCACCTCCTTTCTCTACGGTTTTTAATTGTGCAGTTCCCCGAAGGAACAGATTTTTCAGCCACTTCTGGTGAGATGTGCAGAGACTTCCTTTTTTAAAGGAAATCCAGGTGACGGAAGGACTAGGCTTGTTACTATGGAAGTGAAGAAGGGCAGGCTGAAAAGGCTCAGAAACATCTCACTGAAATCGCTTCAAGGATATTTTACTAGGGTTGTGGGTGTGTATCAAGTACACAATTTACACTGATAGGATTATTTGAGGAAGAGTTCAATGCCTTAAGAAATAAGGGAGGGATGAGGTAGAGGTGAAAGGCAGGATCAAAAGGGGACGTGATCACAGAAAGCAACACGACACACAGCAGCAGGGCGGGCAGCCGCCCTGGGCTGCAGGCTCGCAGGTCGCACCAGAGACGGCTCCAGTGGCTCCAGGCTTTCCTTTTATGCCAACGGCACACTTAAGGGAACGCACAGATGACACAGGAAAAGGGACAGGGGCTTAAGTCACACTGATTTTTCCTGCCCTATGTGGTGTCTCAGATTTGCACTCTGGTCTTTGAAGGTTATTGGACCCTTCCCTTTAAAGATCTTTCTCAAGGGGATTAAAGCAGCCATTAACTTGCACACCTGTTCTCGGCCTCCTTGGCCTCCCAGCATAGTCTTCCCCTTTGACATCCCAAGTTTTGCTAAACCAGTTGTAAAAGACAGGATTTGCAGGTCTGCTTAACTCTTAGGATCAAACAACCCTTGCAAATACATCTTCCAATCAGGTTTACATTTAACACCTGCTGCCAGCTCCCCAATCCCACAAGTCTATTCAGACAGTAAAATGCCTCCAGAAAGGCCGTGTCTGGTTTTCCTAAATCAGTCTGGATTCTAGCTTGGGAGCTGTGTGAAATGTAATTCAGCAATAGTCTTGGAGGCCAGCTCAGAGACCCGAGAAGCCCCAGGCCCGGCAACATTTCCTAAAGCAGTTCCCTATCTTCAAATACACAGACTATAGGAACTATGGCTCTTGTCATTTATGGACTAAACAAACATTCACGCCTTTGACTATACCTGAGCAACTCTGAAGGTCCAGTGTGTGAGGTCATCACTTGACTGAAGCTCAAATGCAGGCCCAGTGCTGCGATGCTCAGGTCTTTAGCTGGTAGGCTCGGCCACTCCCCAGCCTCTGCATCTCGGCATGGTGTAACAGTCTCCATTCCTATAAGCACAATAACTTGTAAAGTGATGAGCTATGGCATCTTTGGGGGTGGGACAAGGAGCAAAAGGATAGGGGAAAAAAACCCAAAAAAACAGCTACAGTGCTTGTGATGGAAGGGAAACGTGGAAAGTCAGAGTTCTTAGAAAAAAGAGCTTAGATTCTGAGAACAGAATTTAACCATAGCTTGGATCCATGATGTGAGGAAAATGAGCTAATCCACAGTGCACTTTGCACAGAAAAACCAGCAGATGAGTATGAATTTATTGTAGTAATAGTCCCAATTTCCTGGGTAAGCCTTCTGCAGAGGATCCAGGGAATGGAAAAGCTGCTCATGTGGAAGTTGGAAATGTGGTAAGACAGAGTGTGGAAATGTACACAGAGAACATAAGTCAATGGAAGTGTGACCTGGGAGAAGGTGGGGAGGCTGAAACTAGAGGACAAGTTGGGGATTTCTGAAGTCTCAAGACAAATCCTTGCAAATATCCAAGATGCAAAAACGAAAATTTAAAAACCAAGAGACCTCCTTACAGGCCAGGTTGAATGCTCAACATCTGAGGACATTCTACATGGCTGCACAAGATGGGCTCGGCTGGCTTAAAGTAACTCTCCAAAATCTCTTACGCTTCATGGGTACAATTACTGGATTCACTGTTGAGAAATCCTAGTTGAGCTCTCCAAATTGGCCAGAACTGTACACCTCTCCGAATAAAACACTGCTGCACAAAGTTAACTGGGACCATAAACTGCAGGGTACTGAGGCCCTTCTGGGCAATACACAGGGCAGTCACAGATCCACTGGCGTTGACCAGGTAAAACCAAGCTGTGGTCTTTCACCACCCCCACCGCATTCTTTGGAAGGTGAAAAATAGCATGGAAACCTTCTAAGCTGACATTTAAATCACTTGCTGGGTCTTAACATTTTGAGGAAGATGACTAGTTTCTACTTATCTTGAGATAACAGATAATGGTTAGTAGCACAGGAAACATTTTAAAAAACAGGTACTAAATAAAGGGCACAGATTCTGAAGACTTGTGGATAGTGATGGTTGTTCACACGGAGACCACTGCTTGTGGAATGTCCTTCAATACCGATTTACTAAGTTTCCAGTCAAGCAGCAGGTGCTGGTGCTACTAAGAACAGGAATATGGCCCTTACCTTCTAGGAGCTCGTGGTCTGCTTGTGGAGACAGAGAGGGAATCATAGTATTTTAAAAAAAGTGTCTTAGAGTCTTCAAGGAAGTTCTAGGAGGAGATCCAAAATTATTTTGATCCATTGCAATATCGTTGGAATAAGAATATATACAATGTCAAAGTGTGATTACCATAAAAGTAAATTCTGGAATACTTTTTTGGTGGGGGGAGGAAGGCATCCCAAACTTTATACATCTTAGCAACAGTGGGCAAATACAGGCCACCTGTTCCCTTACACACCTCCTACTTTTCAGGCCTTTCAGGACTTTTCTGTTGTCAAAGCTTTTTAAAAGGTTAGAATCTATCTTTTCTTCCAGATTTTGGAAGCAGAGAAATAAGAGTGGTAGATAAAAAAACTCCTTGGCCCAAGCAAAGTCACACCTACTTGGATTCCCTTCCTTCCCTTTTCTTGCATTACTTGGTCCACTCACTAGAAACATTTCATGTTGGCCTTGTTTGGCATCCTGTAAGATTTCAGTGTGGTGATGGAGGAGGAGGAGGAGGAGGGCGAAAAGGAGGGGTGAGGCCTAAGATGCAAAACCACTACACCCTGCAGCAATGGCAGGGTCTTAAGGAAGGCAATTTGTAGGCAAAGAAGTCTATCTCCTATTCCTTGGAGGCTCAGACAGTCCTTCAGGAATCTTAGCGCTGACCTTGGCATAGTCTCAGCCATTGAGCTCCAAGTCATATTCTGAGAAAGTGATTCTCAAAATGTAGTCTGAGGCCCCAGAGGGCTTCCTCAGTCCCTTTCAGGTGTCCATGGGGTAAAAACTATTTCATAGTAATACTAAGGGGTTATTTGCTTTTTTCACTGTCATCCTGTCACGAGTATGCAGAATTTTCCAGACTACATGACATGTGATATCATGACAAACTGAGTACAGCAGCAGATATGAGAATCCTGCTGTCTTCTACAAGCGACACATTAAAGAGATTTGCAAAAATGTACAATGATGTCACTCGTCTTCCTAAAATGTGTTTTTGTTCTGGAAGATGTTTTTCTAAAATACTACTTATATTAACATGAAATGTATTTAAAGCAATTAACTAAATATTTAAGAATTTTGTTTTAATTTCTAGTATGGTAAATGTCAATAGATATAATCCACATAAAGCAACACACTATGTAAATTTTTTCCAGTGTAAAGGGGTCTTGAGATCAGAGGGTCTGAGAACTGCTGCTCCAGCGTAACAATGGCTGCACAGGAAGCACGTCCACTGATGGCTGGACCACAGCTTTCAGCCAAGGTTTCTGTACAACTTGTGTGATTTCTCACACACATCTTTTTGAGAAAATTAGATGCTAGATTTATCATAAAGGTAGCAAAGCAAAATTAAGCAGACTCTTTTTTCCTCTCCCATTCCCCCTGTAGATTCCATGAAGAATTTCACTTCAATCTGGGAGACAGGCTTAGCAAATCACATTGTTAATACTGCTCATCATTCCGCTATCTACCAACACACTCTAAGGGGCTTTGAGGAACAGATCAAAAGAACCAGCACAATTCTTAACACTGGGGGTATGACTACTGCATGTCACTTACAGAATTATACGTGTACTTCATTTGCACATCACTGCCTTGAACACTCAAACCAGAACAATAGAAAGCTTTTCACCAGCATCAACTGATGAATGGAAGCAAAAAATCTACCTTTGGGGCCGGCCCTGTGGCTTATCAGTTAAGCACCCGCGCTCTGCTACTGGCGGCCCGGTTTCGGATCCTGGGCGCACACCGACGCACCACTTGTCCGGCCATGCTGAGGCTGCATCCCACATACAGCAACTAGAAGGATGTGCAGCTATGACATACAACTATCTACTGGGCCTTTGGGGAAAAAAAGGAGGAGGATTGGCAATAGATGTTAGCTCAGAGCCGGTCTTCCTCAGCAGAAAAAAGAGGAGGATTGGCAGGGATGTTAGGTCAGGGCTGATCTTCCTCACAAAACAAAACAAAACAAAAAAACAACAAAACATCTACCTTTGAATCCGCTAGGTTCATGTGGTCTAAAAGAATATGGTTTTGTTCTGGTATTCACATCCCACCATTCCTGAATAAAGCTATTTTAAGTTGAAATTATTAAGATTGATGCTTGGTCAAAAACTCTGATTTCATAATTATCTGCACAAACCCGGAGAGGCCCAAGACAGCTTGTGAGGTGGAGTTGCTGAATTCTAACATGGTAGAATGGTCAACCCTTCAAGATCATCTTCAATGTGGCAACTAAGACTCTGGGCAGGTTTGTGGAATCCAGTAACACTCAGTAACACTGCTTGAAACCAACACTGCTCCCAAAGCCACAAAGTCTTCTGCTTTAGCCATTCGTATGGGGACAAAATTCACAACCCAGCTCAGACCGTCACAGAAAGCGTTTATTACCACAGAGGAAATCAGGGGATACTGCAGCCCATGCATGGCAGCCTGGGCATATGTGTGATCAGGGAGAGGGGACAGCAGGCAGGAACCCCATCACTCATGTCTGGGCAGTCTCCGACCGGCAGGTTTGCTCGGTCCAGGAGAGACTGGCTGGGCTTGTGTGTTTGTGTGGCTCAGGGAGGTCAGCCTTGACAAGCAGGCTTCCTCCTGGACAAAACAAAGGACAGCCAGAACCAGGGGCGACAGCTGCACAGACACCACCTTAAAATGGAAATCAAATTAGGCTCATTCCATCAGGAAGTGCCTTTCACCCTGATCATAAAACAAGAGGGGAAAGGGAGCACTGGGCTCTACTGGATAGCCTGTCTTTGAGATAAGATGCTTTTAAAAGTTAAACATTGGCAGGGCTTTCCCCATGCTAACAGCAAGCGGCACACAATTTCCAAGCCAGCTTTAAAAGCTACTGTTATCTTTGTTATCTGTTATTATTTGGATTTTGAACAAAATTGATGGAGTAGGAGCCAGTAGAGGAATCCTGTTTGATCTGGAAATTTTCTGTGGAGAGTCCAAAAGGTCGGAGAACCAAGTTCCCAAGATCTTTTAGTTTACCTGCAATGTGAAAGCAAAAACTCAAATAAATACGGGGAATGAACAGAAGCAGGAAGACCCCAATTGATCTTGCCTTACTATCTGATTACAAAATATGAAGAGTATCTCTCTGCAGTTAAAGAAATTCCTGCTTTTAAAATGATGAAACCTTTGGCCCCCATTTGCCCGTCTGCAGTGTGGTCCCTCAGTGCCATCCACCCCGAGCCTGTGCTTGTGTAGATGAGCGTGAGGGAGCCCTGCTGGCCCCCTCTGGGAAAGCAACGCTTCCTGTCCAAACTGGCCAGAACCCCCAGAGGACACAGGCTCTGAGATGAGTGATGGCCAATCAACTGCTGCTCCCGAGGGGCTGAAGCCATCCTGCCAAGCCCCAGCTGTCTGGCGGGGAGGGCAGAGGTCCCTCCGAGTCTGTTCTCTATGAAAAAGCAGCAGCCACTTGCTGAATCTAATTCCACTCAGCAGATTTCTATTGAACATGGATTCAAACTCAAGAGCCGCCTGCTTTTCTAAGTAAAGCCTTGGCTTCCACGCCAAACCCACCCTTTCTCTGGAAGTGGGAGATCTTGTTCATCTGTACAGCACCATCAACCTCAACCGTCCAGTCTCCTCTCCCCAAGTTCCAGGCTACTTATTAACCACCAGGTGAGTTCATGTCCTAAAGCCCAAACTGAGACACATGGTATAACCAAGGACTTGTATGCTGATTCCATATACAAGAGGGCCATGGAGCTGGTATGTCAAAGGTTGGAGTTTCCAGGACATTTGAGAGATTTATGGGGCAATGAGATGGAATATTTGAAACTAAGAGTATTTTGGAAAATCTTGGCTAGGATGGGTGAATAAACAGTTTCAACCCTTTCTAAACTGTTCTAATTTTTCTTATAGGTCTGCTTCCAATGGAGATGAGGATGGGGGTAAAAGGGAAAGAAACTCCTAATCATCAGAGGTACAGGTTGTTAGCAGCTTTGTCCCCCTGAGGCCTCCCCACCTTGAAGTAAAGCCCAGGTAAAGAACTTAAAGATGCACGGCCTTTAAATGTCAAGGCATTTCCTAATAACTCACAGAAAGAACTTTTGGTCTCGGTCTAAGGTTTAGTTCCCAGAAGCCCAGCATATTCTGAGAAAGCTCCCAGAAACCAGGCTGACCATTCTCCAGACAGCCTTCCCCAACTTAACCCTGGAACACCAATGCTCAGTGCTGCTGCTTAAGGAGAATCACAGGCACAGATCTCGTCCCTCAACACAGAGGGCAGCACACAGAGGCCCCGAGCACAGCCTCCAGGAGATGGATGCACGAGGAGGGGATCACTACAAGCAGAGAAAAGACAGAGCAGCTTCAGGAGAGCGTGAGTTACCCAGAACTCTGGCAGTCGGCCTTGAGGTTGAGGTAAGAGGACAGGGAGGAAACACACATTTAAAGAAACCCAATAGGGCCGGCCCTGTGGCTTGGTGGTTAAGTGCGCGCGCTGCGATGCTGGCGGCCCGGGTTCGGATCCCGGGTGCGCATCGAGGCACCACTTCTCCGTTCATCCTGAGGCCGAGTCCCGCATACAGCAACTAGAAGGATGTGCAGCTACGGCATACAACTATCCACTGGGGCTTTGGGGGGAAAAATAAAATAAATAAAATCTTTAAAAAAAAAAAAAAAAAAAAAAAGAAACCCAATAAAATGTCACTGTGGGCACAACCCTTGGCTCTTCTGACACAGAGTGAGTGAAGTAAAAATGACTCTCAAGAGTTGCTCACATCACACTCCCCGGGAGGGGCAGCCCCATGCTGGAGGAGCCTCACCTGGATGAGGGGTCACCACAAGTCATCTCCATGGCCAGAACAACAATTTCAAGTGCAAACTGTACACTTTATTTGGTATCTACTATGTGAGGCACTGGGATCTAAAGAATAAAAGTTACTCTTTTTTTTTTTTTTTGTGAGGAAGCTCAGCCCTGGGCTAACATCCATGCCAATCCTCCTCTTTTTGCTGAGGAAGACCCGCTCTGGGCTAACATCTGTGCCCATCTTCCTCCACTTTATACGGGACGCCGCCACCACATGGCCTGACAAGTGGTGCGTCGGTGCACACCTGGGATCCGAACCCGCGCCGCCAGCAGTGGAGCACGCACACTTAACAGCTATGCCAGGGGGCCAGCCCCCTAAAAGTTACTCTTGACTTTGGAGATGCTTAGGTCCAGTGGGGCATTAGACACAAGACTGAGGTATGCCCAGAAGAGGAGCCCTCAGGCCTGCGCAGGGGTGTGAGGAAGGTGTTTCAGGAGACTAGGCTCTGCAGCGCTCTGAGGGATGGTACACAGTTACAGGATGATGCCATGCCACTGTGTTCTAGAGATGGCAGCAAAGCAAGGGGACAAGTATTCAAACTGCAGACGGAGAAGGAGAATTGGGGCCTTTTGCAGGCCCTCACTTTGCCTACCTGGCTGACAGACCTGCCCACCACAAGGAGCCCTAACTTTTAGCTTGGCTGATTCTCTGGGGTGGCAGTCATGACAATGTGCTTCTCCAGACGCAGGGAGCACAGCTGCTGCACCCCATGTGGAGGCTGCGCACCCCACGGCTGCTCCTGGTCAATGACTGAGCATGGCAGGGACAGACCAGGGACTCCTCTGATGGGCAACTCACTCTCCAATGGCTTTGCTGAAACCTTCTTGGCACTACACTGCAGTGTAAAACTTTTCCTACACAACTTCCCTCTCTCCTCCACAGGGACCTGACGGCTCTCCCACTGACCTCCAGCTCCCACCCCTTGGCCCCATTTTCCCTTGCAGCTGTTTCCCCCAATAAATTTCTTATACTTCTAACCCAATCATGGCTTCTGCTTCTCTGAGGACCCAACCTAACACATATGGTATCATTCTTTTTCCTTCCATTCTCATATCTCTGCCTTTATAACATTCCACAAGTTTCACTAACTATTATCTCCAGAACAGTAGAAGAGAATATGAGAAGTTCTGCTTGCTAAATGAGACAATGTACATAAAGCACCTGACAGGTAGCAGCCCCTAATAAAGACACATGATTAAACAGTCTCCACATTAGAGGTTACCTGACTTAATTCAACCAACATGTACTAAGTACATATGTGTGGCATCTCCCTGTGAGTGGTGGGGATGCAAAAATATACAACATGGTCTCTAAACCAAAATAAGCTTAGATATGACAGGGAAGATAAGACATACACACAGAAGCCAGTTCAGATGGAGCTGAGATATAAAATGCTATGGAAGTCAGGAAGAGGAAGGTTCCTTCCAGCTTGGGCAGTGAGGAAGGGAGATCTGGCAGAGCTTCAGATGTAAGAGTTTGCATTTATACAGCCACCAAAGGAGAGAAAGGATTGCAACCATTTGAGATAAAGGGAGTGGGCAGTACAGGCAAAAATGGTTTGAGCAAACGTAGAGAGACAGGTAGCCAAGGGTGAGCAGTGTGTCTGATGGCTGAAAGGTAGGCGGGAGGGCGCATCCCAGAAGGTTCTCATGAGCCAGGCCCAGCGCTCTATGGTTCCTGTGCCACGAGGAAGGCCACTGATGGTTTGAGAACTGAGCTTTCAGGGTTAATAATGCTGTAGCAAAGTGAAGAATGAACCAGAAGAGGAGAGCCTGGAGGTGGTTCTGGCAGAAAGTTAGTGCAACATTATGGGAAACAGGCCATTTATTCACTAACGAACATTTGAATGTCTATAATGTTGGGTAAAGAAGCTCTGAAATCAGAATGCAGCCAGTGGGAACATACGGGAACAGAGCAAAACTTTACAGTAGAACTAACAAGTTTTTGGTGTCTGAAAAACTCATCTTCTGCTGTTTATGATGGTGGCAGAGAAGCACCTTCAGTAGAGATCATGCTCCTAAATACACACAAAACACACTCACAAATCTTCCCGCTGCTGTTTAGTCAGGTTGGGTGCTCAGAGACTAAAGCAGCTCCCTTGTACCCAAGACAGGATCATTTGCCAGACTAGCCTATCTGCCACACTTTCCACTGGCTGCCAAATTCTACACCTCCCCTATCTGGGCAGAAATCAGTTAGGTTTCCTTATTTCCACTTGTAGCAAATCTGGCACCGTCACTCAGCATGAACATGTCAACACGCCCCTGCTAGGATCTCATCTATTAGACTGGATTCCATGGCAAAGAGAAGAGTCCAAAACTGCCTGTGCTCAGACAAGAATGTTTACAACTCGAGATCAATGCTTGTCGCTGGATCCAGTTCTGATAAATATTAATTTCTGTGCCTCCAAGCAACATCATATCATGATAACCCAATTGACTGATTATGTGTAATTTCTCTTTGGAAATACTGACTGTGCAGTAGTCAGTTTACCCTGAGGAGAGTCAGGAGTGCCATTTGTTTTCACTTCCTTAAGATCCCTGGGGTTTGGGCCCAGTGGAATAAGTCCTTTGGGACTTCCTCCTACTCAGGAGAACCAAACTGCATATAACTGAATCCTGATACTGCAGTTTCTCTTGTGAGGCATGACACTAAGCCATGCAGCTAACTCTTGCTTTCCTCTGAGCAAAAGGCAAATCAAGAGATAGCACAGAATAGAGAAGATAAAATTCACACCCAATTCAAACGCTTCTATTAGCTCTAGGGTGAAAGTGGAGGCTGAGATAAGCCTTACCCAGAGCTGTCAAAGAACCAGGAGTTTCTCCTGAGAGGAGAAGCTGAAGGAGCAGCAACTAGGAAATGAAGCAAAAAGCAGGGCACTGAAAATCTACAAACTGATGGTTCCTGCTGAGGGGATGACAACAAGGAACTGGTTTGGAGACACTCAGGTGGCCAGAACACAAAACACTGCACAGATACGGTCTGTAATGAGTATCAGGCAGGGTGGCAGGAAGAGAAATATAAAAAAACGACTCTGCATTTCCATACCCACATGTACGGCTTCAGCAGTTTTAAGTGACAATAACAATTCTGAGTCTTTCCTGTGATCTTTGGTGAAGGGGCTGATTCTAGGACCCTCTACTGCTTGCAGAGCAGAGAAGCATGTAATGCACAGGAACAGCCAAAAGAATGTGTCGAATCCTTGCAATGACAACGAACAGATTACTTCTAGCTTCATATCTAGTTCCTGAACGTGGCATTATACAAGATGGTGTTTTTAATTCAGTTCACAAATGCGTGCTCCTTAGGATGCTAGTGGCCAGGAGTGAACACCTGAGTAACTTCCGGACTCAGGAGACCAGGAATATGTTCCAAGAAGGTGGAAGGAGGTGACGGTACGAGCAGGAAACCTGGGCTGGATGATGAACAAGGCCCACGTGTATGCGGAGCGGCTGGCAGGGAGGCGGCAGCAGGTGCCAGCGAAAGGAAGGTAGGATTACTGGGGCAATGCCCTGCCAGTGTCTCTGGTTCTTTTGGGTGAATAAATGAGTTTCATGTTGTGGCTCTAGGTTTCCCAGGTGAGGACTGGCACCTGGCAGCTCTTGGTTATGGCAAGAAGAGCAGCATCTCATGGAATGGCTGGACCACACGCTTTATACGCTACTGGGACACACCCCCACCCCAGGACCTGGGTGGTATCCCCTACCCACTCGATAAGTGGCGATGACCTACAGTGAGCTGACTTGATTTTTCCAGTGGTTGCTTGTCCAAATAAACAACAGAAATGAAACCTGGCAGGGACTGGCTTGCCACAGACAGCTGTCTGAGATCTCAAGTCCAGTGAATTGGAGAGCACATTGTGAAATGTCTACTTTCTACTTTTTCTCTGCTGCAGGTATCGCACAAGGAGGGAAAGAGAAAACTCAGTGACATGCCTGCTTCTGCTCAGGAGGGAGCTCTCAGAGAGAGCTGCTGCACTCCACTCCTCGCTGCATCACTGCTAGGGCCACGGCCCACTCTGCCTTTAGTTCCTCTCCTGAGCTGCCTCTGCACTGCCCTCCCACTCCTCAATCACACCCCCAAACAGTGGCAGATAAACTCAAGTATGCATCATAAACACCTAGAGGGGTTGTTAAAACTCAGAGTGCTGGGCCCCACCCCCAATTTCTGATTCAGTAGGTCTGGGGCAGGGCTGGAAAATGTGCATTTTGGACATGTTCTCAGGTGATGCTGGTCTGGGCACTGTAATTTGAGAACCAGCCCTGAAGGATAAATTGCTTTTGCAGCTGGTGAGTAGAATCTTGATGAGAAGCCTGATATTAAAAACTAATTATAAATACCAATTTCTAGTGATTAGAGGGATAAGGTGCTTGGATGGGAGTCCCTCTTAAACTATGTGAAAAGTAGCCCACGTTACTTTTTGGTGAAAGCAGATGACTTCATCTTCTGTCTCACAGTTCAATACACTGAGATGACAGGAGATAAAGAAAGAATCACAAACTTACACATTCAGATTCTTAACAATTCTACTTTTTTGAGATTTCATGACTGGGCCAGGATACAGGATGAAACAATTTGCAAATGATGATGACACAAGTCTTTATCCCACATTCCTTTCTATTTGTAATCAAAGCCGGTTCAGAGACCTATGTTAGCATCATTACCTGGCCTCCAAGTACATACCTCTTGCCATCCCAGCATAGGTGCCAAGACGAACGGCTCATCTCACCACCTCCTATGTACAGACCTAAACCCAGGAAGGCACCCCTCTCACTAAAGTTAAACAGCCACATTTCCTGAGATGCTCCTGAATGCAGAGCAGTACACTAAGGATTTGTCCTCGGTCTCCTACAGCTGAGCAGAAAAGCTCCAGGGATTCTGAACATGTCTCATCAGTTTTACTTTAAAATTTTTTTTTTTTTTTTACTATTTACCTATCTATGTGAGCAAAAAATTTAATATTGTGAAATCAAAACAAAGAAATAAATCAGATACAGATACTCACAAGGCTGTGCCTGTCATCCAAATCCTTTTGATTTCAAATTTTTATGTTCCTCAAACTTGCCTGATTATTCTGATTATAAATGCTATACATTTGAACTTATACAAACAAAACACCCCCTTCTTTTTTTTCTATATTGTGGTTTCACATAAGATTTTTAAAAAAGAGGTTCTACTTTTTTTTTAAAAAGTGAAAATCTCTAGATTTGAGCAAAGCCAAATAACAGGGCATCAACCACCAGTACCATCAGTACCACCAGTTGCTCAAAAAAGCTCCGAGCCTCTTGGGGTGCTCTGTCCAGTACCTCTGTTCCCACCTCATCACACCATCGACCATACCCTTAAGTCCTTGTAAACCTTATATTCCCTGGCTATTCTGGCCACGAGGCTAATTTTCCCTGAGAACAAGACAAAAGACAAAGGGAAACACTCCAGTTGCTGACTTCTTTCTTCAAATCTGAAGCCAATAAGATCGTCCTCTCTGATTAGCAAGGACTGTGGCACTATGACTGATGGCCACCCTGGGTCTCCACTCCTGTTCTAATGACGATATTTATAAATGACAGGCCACGAAGGGAGGAGCAAGTACCTTCTACCCAGTCATAATTCCAATTAGGATTTTTTTTCCCAAGGAGGAGGGTACATAGCTCTTCAAGTTACAGAGAGAAAAGAAAAAGCAAGTCAAAGATTATTGAACAAAGCTAAATGAAAGCTCATTTTGTTAATTATATAACTACTTTGTAAATGCCAAGGATAAATGGTGTTGAGCAGTTTTTAAAAATCTTTAACTGCCAGCCTTCTAGCAGAAGCCAGCGAAGCTAGCACTAAAGATTGTACAAGTCCACTACAAAAAGCCTGCTCAGGACTTCTAAGGAAGTGACATTATTTTGCACTCAGAGTGACTAGCCTCCAAGGATCTCACAGCACATGAACCAGAGTTACATCATCTGTAACAAAGAGGGAAGAACACTGGAAAGCTTGTGGGGCTGAGATTCCATATAGAGAGTGATTTCTCCCTTTTAGACTCTGCTTTGGTGGGTAACACCTACAGGCAATATTTTATTCATGATTCTTATATTCATTAAGAAAATAAAGGAGCCCAGCCATTCAAACTATTGATGTGTAACAACAAACTGACATATTATTTACCAAGCAATAGACTATTTAAGTCTCATGGGAGGAGAATTCATTACAGAAGCAACTGAGGGAATGAATTCAATTTGAATATTTCAAATGAAGGGAATAGTATAAGTAAAACCCAAAGCTATGAAGACAGGAAAGTTTGGCTCATTAGAATTTGGAGTGACAAGGACAGATGGAAGTTTTGATTCCATCTGGAATTGACAATGGCAGTAAGATTCAGTTTACATCCATCCCTTTATGGTTTCATATTGGTTCAGGAAAAAATGGACCTAGACACCAACACCTAAGTATCTTTTCCAAGTCTACTATGGTCATTCAGAGTCATCTCTGTCAGCATGAAATCCAGCTCAGCTAAATGCAAATACTTTTTTGGTTGTTGTTAATAAAATAAAGCATCCTTGTTAGTAGAATAAATAAGAAAATGCTCTTTTCTCTCCTTTGAAGAAACAGTACCTCTAAAATCATTTTTCTGTTCAAATATGGTGTCAAATTTAATTAAATATGTAAATTAGGGAAAGAGACTTTTTGGAAAAACTGGGGAAGGCTCCAGAAATCTGCCAAGTCTGAGTCTACCGAGCAGGGGCTAGAGGGCTTTGGATCATTTAGGTTAATGGCCTCTTTTCAATCAACTCTGCTATCAGAGTGACCCTTTGGGAAATCTGTTCTCATTCTCTGGATACTGATGCCTAAAGGCCATAAATGGTCAGGCTCAATTTATTTCAAATGATTTTTCCTTTAGCCCCACATGATTGCAATATATTAAATGCAATTCACATGACAGATTTAGAAAATATTCATAAGGAAGAACATATAGGGGATCTTGAGCAGGGAAATATCAGACAGGTTATAAGCAGAATATGCTGGACAGGCCTCTGTCCAGGAAACCTTTACTCCCCTTAGTCAAGCAGACTGTTTATGAGACGGGTTCTCTGATTCCAGCCATAAAATGCCTTGGAAAATAAGAGAACTAAAATATGCATCAAATGAATCCATTTGCCCTATCCTCCACCCACAGTCTTTTTTGCCACTTACTATTTACTCCTAATTCCTGCCCTCTCATGTCTTCTCAAACACTAAAAGGATTCTCAATGCCATTTTCAAAACAAAAATTCCCTTGGTTCTCACATGGTACTGGCTTGTAGTGATGGCATCCTAATGAACTTAAAACCTTAAGTTGTTTACTCAATGAAGAAACTCAACTGTTTTTATAAAATTCATGATCTGAAATAGAGGTTGGTGGTATCCCAGGTTGGGGGCTGAATTATTTACATTCTTGAAAGCAGGAAAATTTTCCAAGAAAAACAAAATGGAAGTTTAGTTTTTGAAAAGCTGATATCCTCTCTAAACCACACTGCTCCTTCTGGAGTCAAAAACGACTAAGAACTCAACTGCCCCATGGTATTGCTGCCCACAACGAATGCAGGGCCCTGAAGCTGTTTCTAACTGTTGTGTTCTCTAGTGAAGAAAAATACTGATGTCCCCTATTCCCAGCTTCCTAGCTATTTCCGTTCAAGAGATAGTAAGGGAAGAAAACTTACCTAACATCTCTTCCTTTAGCTTTTCATTACGTTCTTCAATTTGCTTAGGTAATCTCTGAAGGAAAAAGAAGAGAAACCAGGGTTGGGGAAAAATCCTTTGGCTTTATTTTGAATTTAAGAAATCTTAAAAACCTAATGTGAACGTGAGATCAGGTTAAATACATATATATGATCCTATTAAATAAAGAAAAAACCAAGTATGTGTGTGTTTGTGGGTGAGCTACACGAAGACAGTTTTGTTTGGTTCACTGCTATATTCCCAGTTCCTGGCACAGGGGCCCAAGGAGGACCTCAATACAAATTTGGTGAATAAATATATACACACAAAAATGCCTGAAAGGATACATACCAGATGGTTACAGTGGTATATTTAGGTGGTGGGATTATGGGTGATATTTATATTTTTAATTTTTTTGCTCATTTGTATTTTTTAACTTAAGTCTTTTCTTTATATAATCTAATTTGTTGAAAATGAGATCAATATTGGATGTTCCCAAATGATTATCTAGCTCAGGGTTTTTCAACCATGGTACTACTGATATTTGGGACGGGGTAATTCTTTGTTGTGGGGGCTGTCTTGTGCATTGTAGGATGTTTAGAGCATCCCTGGTCTCTACCCACTAGATGCCAGTCATGATATCAAAGTGTCTCCAGACATTGCCAATGTCCCTGGGAACCAAATCATCCCAGGTTGAGAACCAATGATCTAGATTAGAGTCTCCTATGGCTGCTTTTAGCTCTGTAATTGGCCCCAAGTAGTCTGGGATTCCAGTAATAACTCAATTACAATAACTCAAAATAAAATAAATTCTTTACGCATAAAATAACTAGCATAAAAGGCTTCCCTTCACAGAAGGCTTAAAACTAATTTGACAAGGATAAAGTCTACCAAGATTTTAAGAACTCTATTCCCTTTCCTCATGCCAAATTTAAGTTAATCCTACCACCATTCAGAGATATGTTAAAAGTCAGATAAAGGATTCAAACTGCTTATGTATTTTAAGCATCCAAACCAGCCTATCATCTCCCATTACTCCATTTCTAGATAAATAAAAGATATCTTATTATTAAAGGAATTCACCTCAAGGGTGTGTAAAAACAAAGGAAAACAAAACCCAAATCACCCAGGATATTAATGCAGGTAGATCAGTCAGTATTTCTCAGGTCTGCTCAGTGGAATAACAGTCCCATGAAATAAGTGGGAAATCCCATATAGCAGGGCTCCAATGCCCTCAGGGGCCAGAGAGGAAATGTAAATAAGTAAAGGAATTGGCTGTAAGGCAACAGGAAGTGGCATGGTCAGCAGTGGAACTGGAGAGCTCCAGCCCAATGCCAAGGTGCAGAAGTTCAAAAAGGACCCAGTAGGGGCTGGCCCCGTGGCTTAGCAGTTAAGTGTGCGCGCTCTGCTGCTGGCGGCCCGGGGTTCGGATCCCGGGCGCGCACCGACCCACTGCTTGTCGGGCCATGCTGAGGCCGTGTCCCACATACAGCAGCTAGAAGGATGTGCAACTATGACATATAACTATCTACTGGGGCTTTCGGGAAAACATAAATAAAATAAAACTACAAAAAGGACCCAGTATGTTCACATCCTCCAGTTTTCAAGAGGAGTCCAACTTAGTTTTTTATCCAGTAAAATCTTCCCATTTTTAAATATTGGCAAGTGGCCTCAATTAAAAACATAAAATAAAACAATTTGGCTTAAATAAAACATGTCAATAGCTTTCCCTCTCCTGCCTACTGGCCTGCAATCTCTGCTGCGTACTGGGGTTCATGACAGACCTCTCCATCCTAACGGCTCTCTGAAAAGTCTGGCCGCAAAGAAACATGGTTAGTTAAAGCCAGTGTTCCTCAAACTTATTTGAGCATCCACTATTTTTGGGCAATAACATATACACATCCAATTCTGTAGCACACCCTTCAGAATATATGTTGCTCTGTGCATTAGAGATAATCGAAGAGTGGTGCTAAAGGTAAAAGCACAAATCTGGACCTATTTTTATTTATTTTTATTTTTTATTTATTTTTATTTTTTTGTAAGGAAGATCAGCCCTGAGCTAACATCCATGCCAATCCTCCTCTTTTTGCTGAGGAAGACTGGC